AGATTATCACCAGACATACAATCAAGCAGTAAACAATACCCTAATCAAGGAACTACCAGAGTAAAAAATAAAACAAAAAAAAAACCCACACCCCCACCAACACTGGCAGGCCAGGCCGCTGTATATAAACAGAGAGCAAAGCCCATTCCATTCTAGTACTGAAGTTGTTACCTAGCCGGGTAACAAAATATTTGCAAGAAAACAACCAAGCTTAGAGAACCCCAAGGACTCCACCCTTCCTTCAACTTTAAAATTAACGGATTACTGTTTATAAAGTTCCAATCTTAAGATATGGAGTTTCAACCCTGCATGATCATTTAAAAAATCATTAACTCCATGGTATCTTTGGAGATTTTGCTTTATTCTCTAACTCAAGAAGCCTAGGTAATAATTCTTGGAAGTAGATGTGAAGAACATTTAGTCTAAAGATCACTAGGAGCAATTGGGCGTTCCTCAAGAGTGAGAATCAAATTTGAGCAAAGACTAATGAAGCAGCACTTTGTAATTTTAACAGAAAGAGGCCTTGTTACAGGAGACACATGGGGAGATGGGGAAGGCAACCAGCTACTTAACTACATCTTTTCAGGCAAAGAGTCAGAGAGCAAGTGTGTTTCAGAAGGCAAAGGAAGCGCTTTGAGATAATTGAAGAATTTGGAATTCAGCTACTAAAAGTCTTGCTGGAGAAATGTCCTCCACAATCTAGATTCTGTTACAATGCAGACATGATGACTCCTCTGCTATTTTGTTTGTTCAGGACATTACCTTCCATAGTGGTTGTTTTAGAAGATTTTGTTTGGCTTCCTGCTCTTCTGCTCTATATTTGGAAAGGGATGACTGGAAGTCATACAATGTTTGTGCCACTACGTAGACTGCATTGTAGACGCTGTAGCTGTGGCCAGTCATGTCCATTTCAAATACAGATGTAGGAAGACTGTCAAGTTTTTCTTCTCCAGTGCAGATAGTCCTATGTTCCTCATCCATTATGGACCTGGAGAATGAACAGTCAAATGCATTTTCCCAGAAAAGCCTCATAAAGCTATCTTCTTTTTCCAAGGCAGAATTTCTCATCTGAAGAAACTTCTGGAATCTCACTACTTCCTTTGAGTGAATTGAAAAGGACAGAGCACCATGGAGGAAATCTATCTCTTCATTTCTTTGAAAGGGACGTGAAGTGAAATCTATCAGGGTTGTGATAACCCACACCTTAACTCTTTTCCATAGTGGTTTTCCTTCATATTTTGATAAAGTGGGAAATAATCTAAGAAGAATCATCTCTTCAATTTCACAAAAAACCATTACTATATTAACAGTGCTTCCCATAACAACATTGTACATTTCAAACCCAGCTTCCACAGCAGACAAAATGTTATTAGAATAAGTGATTGCTGGGAATTTTTTACTGAAAGCAAAGCAGACGCCATTCCGAGAAAACATGGGAACTATATTCTGTATAAACCTTTCACCATGATCATTATTTGAATATAACACCTCGATCCAAGTCCATTGGAAGTAGAGCAATAACTGGAGAATCCCCTTGTACTGATGATCCACACTTGGGAACATCTGTTGATATACAGGAGCCTGCGTTTTTGTATTCATTTCTGGAGTTGAGCCATAGATGAGCTGAAGAAAACACATGGAAATGTGGGGCAGGGGGAAAAATAGGGATTGCATGTTGTGCCATTTCCTTACAGCTGAATAGACTGAAACTAGAATTTAAGAACCAATGATTGTTTGAAATTTCAAATTCACACTTTACATATGAATTCAGGAAATGCTAAAAGAAATCTCAACACTGCTCCCAGATTTTATGAATCATTTATAATTCAGCAGGAATAAGGGAGCCAAGAATACCTGGAATAAAATTATCTGCAGAAATGCATTACTAACAAATCAGTACAGTTGAATGCAGTTTATATTTCATGGATGTGATCTATCTCACATCATATTTCTAAAGAACAACTAAATTCATACCGTGTAGCACCCATTCAGCTATCTGATGAAAATGTGCTATCTTCTGAGACAACAGATCCTACTGTATATGTTTTGAAGCTCTGAATCCTCATGTTTCACATCTGGTATTCTCTTCCTGTCTGTCAATCAATTCATTCATCTATCCAATGCTTTGGTTTTGTACCTGAGACTACAACTGAGCTGCTCCTGAAAGTTTTAGTTCTGTCTGGGACTAAATTCCATGTTATGAAGATACGTTATGTTTTTATTAGATTTTTTTCAAGGACATTTTGTCTATCTACTTGACATTTATTTTTCATTCTGCTTATCATACAAATGAAAAAAAAAAAAACCATTATCTCGCAGCTCCTTATTTTCAGTTGGATAATAATAACTCTAACACTAGCAATAATCACAATAACATCAACAGGAAGAAGAGTTGAAGGAAGAGGAGGAGGAGGAGGTGTTAAGCTGCTTCCTTAAAGGCTACAGACTATAAACTATCCATGTTGCTCAATTGTGGGTTTCTAGCTAGCTGTTTTTCAGCTTCCCAGTCTAACAGTGAGTGAGAATGACTGGTTCAAAGTCACCCAGCTGGGTCAAAGTCACCCAGTCCCTCAGGGAGTACTATAACCTGCAGCTCCCCTCTCCTAGTCCAGCACCTTACCACTCCACAACAATGACCTACTGTCTACTTCTCTATCTATAAGACAGGCATACATCATAGATTCATGCATACATGCTATTTGTTCTGGTCATAAGACTATTAATTTCTGTACCAAAAATACATGCATTAAAAAAACAGTTCCACATCTGAATTAAACCCTGGTAAAATACCAATATTCCATGCAAGCATTGTACCTGTGGTACTTTGTAGAGAGACAGGATGGTGGTCATATGGGCCTGAACTGCAGACGTTGGTCCTCCAATGACAGCTATCAGTCTGCTCTGCTGGTCACAGTTGTAGTTAGGAGTTAATCTGTCCTGACCAGAAAATACTTCCAAGGAGGCACGATAGGTCCAAATTGTAGTAAAATAACTATTATATATATATGGAAGCCCAAGGTGTGATTAGGTAAAATATGATGATCTTCATTGACTGTAAATTGCAAAGCCAGGAACTGCTGGTAGAGGGGTGTCATAACTCTGAAAGGAGAAGTAAATGAACTTTCTCATAGCTCCACACTTGGAATATTTCATTTCAGCAAACGGCAAAGGATTTTTATTGATCCTCATGAACATCAACAATTATGTTCACATTCTGTCAGACGTTTCTTGCTTTTCTCCTTACAGTATCTGAAAAGTTCGTTTAAGAGCTTGATTTCTCTCACTACCCAAGCAGTTCTTCTGGTTTCAAGTCTCCTCAGGAAAATCAGTTGTTAAGGATTTACGTGAAAAGAGACTGCTAAAGATGAAGAAACAGAGGAAAGCAAAAAGGATGTCAGAACAGATAAGATAAATTGCTAAGAACAAAAAAGAAGCCAAACCCAAAAAAGATAAACATAGTTAAGGAAGGAACTTAAGATTTCAGTGAGCTGTTAGAAGAGACAAGAAGCAATATTATTATTATTATTATTATTATTATTATTATTATTATTATTATTATTATTTTCAATTTATTCCTGACCATTTCTAGTGGACTGCAAAAGGAGATTCCAACCTTGAATTGCTATGCTAAATGACACAAAAAGAGAGAGAGAAAATGCATTCAAGGAAGATTTAAAAAAAAAGATGGAAGGAATATATTGAAATTCTGTGTGGTAGAGAAGTCAACCTCCAAGTTTCCTTAGAAGAAATTCCCTACTTACAAACCCTCTAGTAATAGAAAAGGAAGTTATAGCAGTACACTGGTCATTACAAATCCAGGAAGGAACAGGAATTGATAGAATAGCTAGACAAACATGGCAAGCAACAGAAGAAGATTTTCTAAAGTTTGTAACCAAACTATGCCTGGAAATCTGGAGAACTACACAATGGGCAACAGACTGGAAGAGCTCAGACTACATACCAATAGCAAGAAAGGAGACTTAAAGGTATATATAAACAATATATTTAATTTCATTTGCTAGCAAAATAATGCCTAGGATTATCCAATGCAGATTAGTGTCTAACATGTAAAGGGAAATGCCAGATATTCAAGCTGGTTTTGGAAAAGGCTGAGAAAACAATGGTAGCTGATGCAGACTAGATAATTAAGAAACCAAAATAATATCAATCAATCAATCAATCAATCAATCAATCAATCAATCAGTATATGCTTCATCAATTATACAAAGATTTTTAATTGTGTTGACCATATCAAGGTATGGAATGTGTTTAGGATAATGGGAATCCCAGAACATTTTGTCATCATGTGAAAACTATAGACAGGTTAGGATGATATAGTCTGGAAAGGACATCATGAAACAGACTGACTTCAGGTTAGCAAAAGAGTGAGAAAAGGCATTGTGTTCTCCCATCATTTTTTTCAAATTATAGGATGAAGGTAAGATGAATTGGAAGAAAATAAGTGATGTTTAAAATGAGAGGAATAAACACCAGCAACCTATATTATGCTGATATCACTATTCCAATAGCTTAAAATACAAATGAACAGCAAGCTCCAATAATGAAAGTTGAAGAGCATGCTGAGAAAAATGGGATCAAGATTTAATGTAAAGAAGACAAAACTATTGATAACAGATTCAACAGCCAGCCTTCTAATTGACAATGAACATAATAAAGTGGTAGATAGTTTCTGCCTAAAGGAACCACAGATCAAGAACTATGTCTCAGAAAAGATACTTGGTGACACAGAAATGAAAGCCATGGAAAAGATATTCAGATGCCGTGACATGTCTATACCTACAAGGAATGGTTTTCCTTCTAAAACATTAGGGAACGGAAAGTTGGAATTTGAAGAAGTAAGAAGGAAAGAGCATTAATGCTTTTGGAATGTGGTGTTTTAGAAGACTCCTGAGAATCCCATGGAGAGTTAAGAAAACAAACAAATGGATAATAAAACATTTCAATCCAAAATTCTCACTCAAGGCACAATTGATCAGGCTCAGATTATTATAGTTTTGACACATCATGTGAAGACTTATCACTCTTGAGATGTATATAATGCTTGGAAAGATGGAAGAGAAGAACAGGATGTCCAGCAGCAAGGTGGATAAACTCAATTACACTGGTGATGGGTGTATTATTGGAAGTTCTGAATGATCAGGTTGAGGACAGATCATCCTGGAAAAAAATCTATCTCTAGGTCACTATCTTTATGGTCACTAGAAGTTGACATTGACTTGTTGACACATAACCAGATCAGATCAATCCAAGATTATTCTTTGAATGCCTACAGATTCAAACCCACAGAACTATACTGTATATTGATGGACAATCACCTGCATTTAGCCTTATATCTTTTTGAGATATATTTATTTATCTTATATCTTTCCTTCCTTATATAACTGGATAGGATGCTATTCCCTACTCAGTGAGGAAACTATTTCAATATTAGATACCATTCTTTCTCACTCTGTACCTCTTACTGCTAAAATAAACTTACAGAATTTCATCAAAAAGATTACTAGAGGGTGGTTCAATGAAGTCCATCATATTATAGAATATGTAGATCTTTGAAAGAATGCCTACTATGTTGAGGTCTCCTGGTTTGTATTCCTTGTGAAGAAAAGGCAGAGGGTCACTGATGCTGCATTCAGGATTAGGAATCTCACATACTACCTGGGCCAAAATAATCAAAACCCAGTGCCACCATCCTGAATGAAGCTGTTCCTTCTTGAAATTCATCTCTCACTGCCTTGGCCAGTGTTGTACTAGTTGTCAGTGACAATTACTCAAGTTCAGAAATCTAACTATAAGTATCCCCAGGTTGAAATAGTCAAGGGTATGTTGCTTTTAAATTTCTCAAGTTTTATTTTGTGTGTTGCATTTCTGAGAGTGTTTTTTTGCACAGATATCATAGTGGGTAGAAGAACTCCTTTAGGATTAGAACATGTAGTTGAGAAATATCTTGGTAATTATTGTGGAGAAACATCTAATTCAGAATTAAAAGTCCTAGATGGAGATTACATATTATTCACATCTCATCAGCCCTGGTCTTTTCCACCATAGTAGCAATAGTATAAGAAAGGTATAGTTATTGAGAGCAATATCATGGTCATCAGTCCATTAATAATGTTAGAACAAATACCATGAAAAAGAAAGGAAAGGAAAGGAAAGGAAAGGAAAGGAAAGGAAAGGAAAGGAAAGGAAAGGCATAGCTATTAAGTCCTGGGTTTTTTAATAGTGTTATCTGCATAGTACAGGATGAGTAAGAGAAAATGCATCCCACTCTATGTGTCTCTCTCTCTCTCTCTCTCTCTCTCTGTGTGTGCATGTGCAAAATATAAAGAAGACTAAACTAATGACAACAGGGGCAAGGACCAGACTTCAGATTGACAATGAAGATATTGAACTGGTGGACAGCTTCCACCTTTTAAGATTAATTAACAATAATGGAACCTGCAGTCAAGAAATATGCCTCAGACTAGCATTAGATAGAGTAGTTATAAAAGCCTTGGAAAACATATTCAGATGCCTCAATATGTGGCATACAGTAACAAAATCATCCCAGTGATGGTTTTCCCCATGATATTCAAAGGAAGTTGGACTTTGAAGAAGCAGGATAAAAAGAGTATTGAACTTCTTGAACTTTTGCATTGGAGAAAATGCTTGAGAATGCCATGGACAACCAAGAAAACAAGTAAATAGAGCAGACTAATCCAGGGTCCTCATTTGAGGTACAAATGAACAGGCTCCAAATATCTGATTTTGGACACATTATGCAAATACTTAGCTTTCTGGAGTAGTCTATTATGCTGGGAAAGGTGGAAGGAAAGAGAGGAAGAAGACGATTAGTCGCAAGTGGACTCAAGTACAGCAGCAATGGGTACACCATTGGAAGACCTGAAGGACCACGTTGGGAACAGATCTTCCTCAAGGCAATTTGTTTATAGGTAGTCTTCGACTTAAGACCACAATAGGGAACAGAAAATTTGTTGTTAAGCAGTGCAGTTGTTAAGTGAGGCATCATGTGATCACCCTATTTAATGACCTTTTTTGCCGTGGTCATTAACCAAGACATCATGTGATTGTGATTTGTGACTTGCCAGCTTCCCCATTGACTTTCCTAGTCGGAAGCCGGCTGGGAAGGTCACAAATGATGATCACATGACTGCAGAGACACTGTGTTACATAAGTCATAAGTCAATTTTTTCAGCACCATCGTAACTTTGAATGGTCAATAAATGAATGGAAATAAGTCAAGGGCAACCTGTATGTGGTTGCTAAGTGTTGACACCAGATTGATGGCACTGAATCTATCAATCAAAGTAATAAATATAATATAGGTATAATTGCTATTATCTGATCATGCCCCAGTAATATTATTAATTTCTACCAGGAAGGGTAATCTTATTTTTCTAGATTATGTTTAAATATGTGGTTGTTAAAACATTTGCTATTTATAAACCAGGCAAAAGATTTTTTTTTATTTTAATTTTTTTTTCTTTCATATTAATTGATACCCTACAATGCTTCCAGGGCTCCTTCTTGAGGGTGTTATCTATGTTTTGTGCCCAAGTTAGAGTTTTGCCCATTAACATTTTCAATGCACACAGCTACAATCTCCACTGCATACGCCCATTGAAGTCCAACATCTGGTCACCAACGAATGCAAAATATTGCTTACCAACAACTATTCAGAAAGAGCTCTTGTTAAACAACCTTTTCAGTGCAAAAGCTGGAAAGAGGAGTGGGTGTTTGCAATGATGGGGGATTGCTCCTTTGTGTGGTGAACTGGAAAAATAGAACAAGAATTTAGCTTGACTGAATTATTCTATTTTATAATACATTCTTTATATGACATTGCATATATGTTTTAGTTGCATTTCTCTGATGACTCTTTTAAGTGTGAAGCCCTTGTGATTCCAGTTTGTTACTAAATGCCTATAGAAATGAGCCCCAGAGCAGAGGCAGTACAATCAAGAATGTGCATTATTGTCCTTGATCATCTCTCCTTCCTTCCATTGTAAAGTAGAGAGTCAGTTTGTTAGAGGCTTGATACTTTTCATCAATTTAAGCTGCTGTATTGCATTCCAAAGAATGAGTATGTAATATTTTTGCACCATTAATATCAGGGTCTCACTTAGTTTTATCTTGTGTCCTTATCAATTGTAAAGCAATCCTCTCTCTATTGGGGTCTCCTATTATTGCATATTCATGCTCAGATTGTCTTTGACTGACATTCTACAGTACAGAAGAGCAATGCAATTTGGGGGCTTTTGCTTTTGGTCTGTTAGGGTGCAAGAGATCAGTGTCTCACTATAATCTGCTAGTTTAAGATTTAATAATATGATTGTTGGATATTCTACAATTGTTGGTGCTTCTTTAGGTGAGTTTTCCACTACACTATGCTATACTATTTGAGGAAGATTTAGTAGAGCCCATTTGGGAGACCCTCTGATCCAGGACAGAAGGCTCAGGAGTCAATTGAAATGGACTTCTGCATTTTGATTGCAAGAGATCACCCAGAGCCTCCTGGGAAACCAGGAACAGATGCAAGAGATATAGCCAGAGCAGAGAAATCCAATTCACATCCAGGTTCTGAGGGAAGCCATGACATGGGAATCCTATTCACTACTTTCCAATAAATGAACTTTCCTTTGAACCTGCATTGGTTTCAATGACAGTTGCTTTCATTGGGAACTGAATACCGCGGTTCTTACAGTAACTGTCTATAAAATGTTTTAATGCAGATTTAACAATGGTTAAAACAGTTTAGAAATAACAGTAAAAGAATATAGTAAAATCCATGGATACACCTAAAAGTGGTTAAGTTTCTGGCTAAAAATTTCAGGTCCAGGATGCTTTGCTTTGCACTGATTCTGTGATTCTTGAGCAAGCTGCAATACAGATTGCACAAAATGTTGCCATACTTCTGGAAATCCTCATTGATTGGACTGCTAAAAGAGGACATTTAAACAAGATTAAAACATGGCTGATGTGGGTCTTCCGGGCTGTGTGGCCGTGTTCTGGAAGTTTTGATTCCTAACCTTTCACCAGCATCCTTTTCCGGGCGGAGCCGTGAGGGAGGAGGGGCACAGCAGGGCGGACGCACAGCCAGGCGCGCCCCCCTGCTCGTGCGCCTGA